AGTTTGACATTTCCAGAATGATTTAAGAACAATGCTTTGAAACTCACATTTGAAACTGGTTTACAGACACATGATATTGTCACTCCATGATTCACTCTAAGAATCTTCCCATCAATAGATTCCCCCCCCCAAAAAAATACATTTCCAGTTTGTGTTTTCAGTATCTGGTATGCATCAGTAGAGCACATCCTTCCAAATTCTGGCACTGTTGAGTCTTTGTACCATGTCCTCTGAACTTATTTTGAATGGCTGCATGGCACTCTAATTTTCTATTAATTCTACATTACTTTCTTTTGCTTGGTATTTTGCTAATTGTACTAACTGGCAACAGCTCATGACACATCTTTGCAAAGAAATTGATTACTACTAACTTCATGCCACTGGATTCAACAATATTTTGAGTCATTTCCCTCATTGTTTTGGTAGTACTAATGCTCAACAACCTGTGTAATTCAGTTTTTCTATCTAGTATTTACATTTCTGTCATGCACAAACAATAACATTAAAAAGACAATATACCTGAAATCTGTTTACCTTGTTTGAGTCTGATTATATAGAAGAATCTTTTATTAGCTTACCTAAAAAGAAACAGAGAAAGGAGTTTTGTTAAATTCAGTAGGTTACATGGCACTTTTAAAAGAAAGAAAAAATGGTCTGGATGCAGCAGTTTTTTAAAAAAGCTAGAAATAATTAATCCAAGCACTAAAGGGTTTTGCCTATTCTCTGTTATTTGCTGCTGATACCCATTCCTCAACCCATGGTAGTCAGTGGGGAAGGCATCAGAACTCCAGTAGATATTCCTTGGTCCAAGAAAGATCTCAGAAGTATGTCATCTCTAAACATGAAATCTGTCATTTCTACTATTTGTAGCTACTGACAGAGCTATCCTCCATGTGGTGGTTTCCCTTTTTAAAAATGCCTGAAAATCATGGGGTTGAATTAAGCATTCTGTTCTTTGAAAGGAACTCAGTTTACAAAACAGAATGTTTGAATTCAACCGCATTCCATTCCGCCAGTCATTTAATTGTATATGTCAGTTTTCCGTTGTACACATTGTCCTTGTATACTCTTTTCTTACTCATATATGACTTTGTATTTTGTCACAATCATCAACCACTTGACACAAATATTAGTGAAGAATAAGCACACATGGCATGTAGAAATTAGTTTCAGGAACTGGGTGTAAAGGGATCCGACCCAGAACACACACTGGAGCTGGGAGAGGAATGCGGGCGAGAACACTGAGTGGGGTGAGGATGCTGAGAGCATCCCAGCAGCAGATTAAAGGGCAGAAACAGAGAGAATTATTTCTCTGTCCAAGCAGCAGGAGGAAGGAAACACCAGCAAAGGAACACAGAGGAAACAAGGGAAAAGTGAGAGTGAAGAAAGAGATTTGAGGGAAGATGAAGGAGAAGGTAGAGGGCAATAGGGCAGACTATGAATGGAACCAGGGCTGCTCCAAAAATAACATTGGGGGTGGGGGTGGGAAGGGACCTTGGGAGGGTCATAATCCAAGTGGCAAATCAGTGCGAGATAAAGGGTAGGACAGATAGATGCAGACACTGTGTGGAGAGAAAGGAAAGTGAGAGATTGAAATGACCAGAAACACTAAATTAAACAAACAAAAGGAGTGGTGTACACTGATGAAAAGGGGTAACAAGACTCTTGGAGTAAGGAGTTCTGAGGATTCCTGGGACATTAGAAGGTAGGAGCTGACACAGGGGGTTAACTGGGATGGATAAGCATGATTGAGAAGTTCTGTTACTGTTGCAGCAACATCAAGTGAAATAAATACTGACATTGTTTATTTGTTGTCAGATTTATACCCCACTTTCTTCCAAGGAACTCCATGATGTGTACATGGCTCTCCTTCTACTCCTGTTCTATTTTTTTAAAATAATATTTATTGATAATTTCAGGATTACAAGAAAAAGAAAAAAGAAAAAACAACTACACTACAATACAAAAAAGAGGAGAAAAAATAAAAAAAAGAAAAGCACAAAATATACGACAATACAACAAAAGAAAGTAAACAAGAAAAAAAAAGAAGAAAAAACACAAATCCCAAATTGCATATCCATAATTTCCATTTGCTTGTTTCATTGACCTCCTCACACCTCCCTTTTTGTATTCTAGTTTAATAATTATTTCAGCAAATTCTTTCCATCTTTCTCAATTTTTGTTTTAAAATTTATCTTAACAATTTAACCTAATAATTAAATCAACAAATCCTTTCCATCTTTCCCCATATTCTGTTATTCAAATTATCTTAATTTATTTAACCTTATCTTACCCCTAAGTACCTTAAGACTTAAATCTTAGTTTTCAAATATACATAACTCCTGATAACATTTCTGCTAGAGTCGTATAGTTTCATTCCCACATTTTCCCTAATATTCATTAAGCTGATTCTAAAATACAAAATTTCCATTATAAATTCTCTTTCAATCATCATCCAGCATCTCTTCTTCCTGGTCTCGGGTCGTGTCAGTCCTTACTGTCCATTCCATCTAGTCCATCAACCTGGAAGCCTTATGTCCGAGGCCCTTAAGTCTCTTCCATGTCCCTTCTGCAATTCTTCTTCATCTTGTTTGTGCTTGCCCTTTTCCTTGTCTTTTGTTGGTCTCTGTCTTAGTATCTTTCCTTTCTCATTGAGGAGTAGGTCTCTGGGGGGTTCCAACCCAAAATTGTCTCCATCACCCTTCATCCAGCTCGCCCATTCCCCACAGTCCCACTCCCCACAGTCCTCGATATAATCCAAAATGTATTTAGAATCAAATGTCAAGATCTCTCCAAAGCTAGGAATCTCCTCATCTCCAGACTCCCCTTGGCCCACTCCAACTTCAATCTTCAATAACAGCGGCTTATGCTCCTGTAGGGCCTCGGGTCTCTCCATTTGTACTATCTGAGGTGCATCTGCATCCTCCTCCATTGTCATCTGCACTTGCCCAGTCAGTACAGATTCATAGGTTGGTTCCTGAATGATTTCTGTATCAATGTTCCCTGTTTGTCCACAGTTATTAACCACAACAGTCAAATCCATTTTCTCATTCATCAAATCCATCTTCTCATGCATCTGTTCCAGCAAAGCATTTGTCTTGCATAGAGCAAGCACCCAGTCTTCCTCCCAGCTCATCTTTGTTCAAGGTCAGAAAAGACTATTCCCACGGTCTTAATCTCACAGATGTTGGGTCTCAAATATCCTACAGCAACAATTTAGCAAGCTCCCTCTAGAGGAGACAAACTATTTGTATCCATTTTTTTTTTTTTGAAGACAAAGGAAAGTTACATTCATTTTTCAGATATTTCAGATGTTTTTCAGATATTTTGTTTCTTTAAAATGCAAAAGGCAACATTAGTATCAACTTGTTTCTCTTCATTAGCTATCTGTCAAAGTATTACGTTCACAGTCAATGAACCTCTCCAACAGTTTCTGTCTCTGACACCCCGTTCCCAGGTTAGAGATGGTGGAAACTTATCCTTCTTCACTCCCTCTCCTGCTAGGGTTAAACAGAGTCCCCCCCCTCTTTTCTCCTACTTCCAAGGGGGGTTTCAGTAATTCTGAATGAAGGAAATTTAGTCTTTTTTGACAGCTTCCCGGCTTTAGCTTGTAAAATTTTTGCTTTAGTCTATATACAAAAAAGCGGAAGGCGGACTTCCTGTTTGCACCTTCCCACTTCGATACCAAATTGAACAATTTCTTGATCCAATTTTCCTTTTCTACTCATGGGTACTTGTTTTAAGTCCAATTGTCCACAGGAAAAAGTCAGCGCTCTCTGGCAATGGCTGTGCGGCTTCACTCCGTGAAAGTAGCAGTCAGTTCGTAGCACCGCGCTTCTTACCCCACTTCGCTCCGGAGCCCCTAGATGGGATTCCCCGCGAGTAGGGGGGCGCTTCTGGTGCCCTGCCAAACCCCACATTCCCAGGCTTCCTCCGCCTGGGATTTCTAGCGGGTCCCCACCTTCACCGCAGTGGGAAGACCCAGTTTCCACGGAGCCCGTTCCTCCGGTCGGAGGAACTCCGCCATTCACCAATGGCGCTGACCCGGAAGTCCCCTTCTACTCCTGTTCTAATCACAACAACCCTTTGAGGTAGACTAGGCTGAGAGGCACTACCTTGCCCAAAAGTAACCCAGAGAGCTTCATGGATGAGTGAGGATTTGGACCCTGGCTCCCTCCTTATCTAGTTAAATGGATCATTAGTATAACCCTGTACAAGACTTCTTTAGTTTTAATGGACTATAATTTCATTTCAAAACCATAAAATTCATCCTTCACCACCACCAAGTATATAATAAAGTTATAGCTTGTGAGCTGCTATATGGTGGAAGATCCACGTGTATTCCAAAACAAAACTAAGCAGTGATGCTACTGCCAGCTCTTTCAAAACTCCATATTAGGCTCCATTTCCTAACATTTAACACATTTTGAGAATAGCCAGGTCAAAATATTGTTGTTTTTTTAAGCTACAAGATAAATGAAAGTGTTGCCACTACGGTTTACCAGTTTTATAGAAAGCACCAACATACAACTGGATTAATTAGAGACCTTTCCAATATGTAGTGTAGACAAAGTTGCATGTATTAATTATTACTGAAGAACACACACACAGACACACACTCCTTCAAATAAGAAACAAGGTCAACTAACAGTATGCTTAGATAAATTAAGAATATGTCTTCATGTGTTTGGCTGATTTGTCTGCATCCTTTTTCCTCTGCCAGGAGATTTTCTAAAGGAGTATCAAGTACAAAGAAAGCTACAAAGTACTACTTATGCATAATAGAAATTCAATGCATGCTCCTTGTTTTATTTCAAAGCCGATTACTGAAGAGCTCACACTATGCTGAATTGTCTCTTCTGTAAATGGAAGCACTGCATCACATGCTTTTCCTGTATTACTCATTCAGTCATTCATGGTTGGTCAACTTACAAAATCATACAAATCATTCAGTATCAATATTCAACATCACATTAATTAAAATAAATATCCTTAAATATTATTGCTAGGATCTCTCTCTCTCTCTCTGTCTCTCTCTCTCTCTCTCACACACACACACACATACAGAGAGAGAGAGAGGGAGGGAGAGAGAGAGAGAGAGAGAGAGAGAGAGAGAGAGAGAGAGTGCCAGCAGATTTGGAGTATTACTGTTTTTTGAGTTGCAGTAATGATGATTCCACCTATTCCAATATTCAGTTTTTCTATAAGCAAACTCTGTACCATTCTGTTTGAGAGAGGTCTGCAGGGGTTTGTTTTGTATTTCCATGTTATTCATTACTAGCATCCTGATATGTATAATGAAATCCTAGAAGTGTTCTGTGGTGTACTTTACATCATTTAAAATAAAAAGAAAAAGAAAGAAAGAAAAGTATAGGAAAAGTATAGGATAGATACAATAAGGCTGCAATTTGCTTACTTCAGATAAATCTAATTGAGTACAGTTGGACTTACTTTGCAGTGGTAGCTTCTCAAAAAAGCACTTGAGAGACAAGTAAGTCTGTGACAGCAGCAAAGACCTATTCTCCCAACTCATTTAAGACTCAGTGCCAAGTTATCCAACCATCTTCTTGGTAGAAAGGATGGCTGTCAATTCAAGGCTACAACAGGAGGTCTCAGACTCACAATTAGTGCTTGGCCTTTGCTTCTCATCAGATTCAAGTGGCTCTCTGTAACTTCTTTGTAGCACAGACAGGATCAATATAATTTCTATATGCATCAATCTTGCATGTTTTATTAAGATAAAAAATAATGCAATGTAATAATAAATAGTAGATCTGTAGAGTTTGAAGGGATCCCAAGGGACCTCTAGTCCAACTGTCTGCAAATTCATGGATCGCAGTTCATCCCTGGTCATCCAACCTCTGTTAAAAAAACCTCCAACAAAAGAGGTACCCTCCAAGGTAGTCCATTCCACTGCTGAACAACTCTTACCATCAGAAAGTTCTTCCTTATATTTAGTCAGAATCTGCTTTCCTGTAATTTAAATTCATTAGTTTCAATCCCACCCTTTGGAGCAGCAGAATATAAGCTTGCTCCATCTTCCATATGACAGCCCTTTAGATAGTTGAAGTTGGGTATCATATCACCTATCATCAATTAGTCTTCTCTTTTCCAGGCTAAACATACTCAACTCCTTCAACTGTTCTTCATAAGGCTTGGTTTCCAGATCCTTTATCATCATGGTCTCCCCCCCTCTACACATGTTCTAGTTTGTCAATATTCTTCTTAAATTGGTATTCTTCTTAAACTGGTTTCTAACTAACTATAAAGTTTTACATTAAAAACCTACTGACAGCTTTCAGAATTCTGCATCTCAGCTATTATAAGTATAGTAAATTATCACCCGATTCCCGCACCTTCTTGCCTGCTTGCTGTGTCTGAAGCCCTGGAACAAATGGAAGGAACTAGTGTTTCATGCAGCAGAAATGTCAAATTTGGTCACATCACTTGAACTGGTCAGCCCTGTTTGTGTGACATGAATCTTCTTTCTGTGAGCATGACTTAGAGTCGACTTTGAAGTTTATAAATGGAACAACCACTAAATTAAGCAGAACAAAGAAGCAACTGATAGCTGAAGTACTGGACCCAAATGTACTCATTAGCTTGTTCAGATTTGCTCGCACTTTTCTTTTAGGGCTATATACTTCTTTAGTTTTCTGAATTTAATAAGCAAATGAAGGAACTTTTTCAAGAAAAGAATAGGAAAGGAAAATTATTTACACTTCCATCCCTCCAGCATGCAATGCCACCTATTACATTCAGCTGACAAACTTCTATACACATTTGATATATCTTTATCATCATAGGTAACTGATCAGATTAAATATCCAAGATGAAAGCATAAATACAATGCAATTTAAAGAAACTTTCTCCACAAGTGAATTTTGATTATAATATTTTCTTTAAACATGACCAACTGTTTAAGCTTGATGTTTTAACCATGTGATAAAACGGTCCACTGGACATCATTTATGCAGGCAGTACATGTTCATTGTTACTCCATTCCATTTGCACAGAAAGGCTAAACAGTGAAAGCCATCGATCAACCAATGTTCACCTGCTGTTCAGTGACCAGTCACTTGGAACAACCCCTACCAGCTTTTCGCCCAATTACCCAGCATAGCTTGAACCCTGGAGAATCCAAAATATATTGTTGCTGCCTGGCCCAACTGGAAAACAAGCATTTCATTTCTCATTTAGCAAGGTTAAAAATAATGCTTTTCATTATATTGTTTTTCTTCCTAAAATCAACCTTCAGAAAAAATTCACCCCTGTTGTCTTAGATTAAATTACTATTTCTGCAAATTTTCTGACCAAAGTTTCTGGCATGCTATTAATATAAATGGTCCTCTTTTCAACCTGCTTTCAAAAGCTTTGCCTACGCCTTATGGTGGGTGCCAGGCATGTAGAAGCCCAGTTATTGATACCTTATGACCTCTCTGGGCAAAATTCTATTCTTGATGACATTCACAAGGCTTCACTGTAATTTACCCATATAAATGTTTACAACTATCCTTTCTTGTAGTAGTTGCCATGAGGGCAAGGGAACAGTTACATTTCTATAATTTCTTCTAAAGAGTAATGACTGTTAACTGTACCATGTCTTTTTTGCATTATGTCACCAAGTAGGTTTCAACTGTTAAAAAAAATTGTGATGGAAAGACCATAAAAATCAAATTAAATGCTCACAAGCATTTTGCAGTACATGTACACAAGTGCTTTGCTTTTGACACAACAATTGGTTAGGTTCTAAATGCTATGTCTGTAGAAGTGTTGATCTATTACCCTGATTAGTAGTTAACTTTCATTTCTTTTCTAGCTTTGCCCCTGGATAAGCTCAAGTATTCCCAAGAAGAAGCCCTGATCAAGTACATTTGTCATGCGAACAACTATAATAAGGTAATTTATCATACTCTGTCAAGAGTTTTATTCCAGAAAGACTGCTGCATTTTTATCTTTACCAAAAATTTTGCTGTCACTCTTACTGAAAAAATTGGTAGACATTTTGGACATGTTTAATAGCCATTCCAAACTGATAGTGGCAGATAATTAAGTTATCTGCTATCAAAATATCTTTTGTTCTCTAAAATGCTTATGATGAAATGAACCCTCAGGCTGACTTAATATGGCCTGTTCACAGAGTGTAATTGTTTGTACCTTTCACTTTTCTCCATCTAAGTCAATAACCAGTGTAGAAGCCTTTTTTCATTTTCCTTGTTGGTCTCCAATCAGTTGCATCAATGGAGACTTTTCATTTGTTAAAACAACTATCAGTAACTTCAGGTGGGAGCAGACTCTGGGTTACTGGATCATGACAATAATCACAGTGACATATACAAATCCTTAATTGACCCATATTTGAAAATTAGTGCATAGTAGCAATTTTCCCATAGTTTTCATCTGAGACTCTTTCAACATTGTTTGGGAATGAACAAGGATTGCTATCCCACATCTGTAGCATGAATTTAAGGGGGGGGGGAGTTTAACAAGTTAATTGACACTGTAATGCTCAATCTTCCTTGTACTGCAGTTTTTAAAGTCATATGAATTCTGGTGTTCATAATGTAGCTACTCTAGAGCAGGCTCTATATTGTCATTCCTTGCCTTTCCCAGTTTTTAATGTGATAACCCTTTTAACCATGTTATTTTAATGGCTAATTAGCTATAATAGATCAAAAGTCTGCCTTGCCCCTGCCCTATCATTAAATGAAATGAAAAAAAAATACTATGCCTTTCAACCTTTCCTCTGAACGTGCTTCCTCTCTCTAGAACTCATGTTCTCATCCAACATAGCAAGTGCTCATATTATTCCTTAGATAGCAGTATAGGATTTGGAAGTGTATCCTGCTGAACAAGCCCAACCTCTATAATAGAGCTGGTGCCTCTTAGTAAAGAAGGGATTCACCATTACGACACCACTAGAACACTGAATGCATGCATTCATACACACCCCGAAAACCAAGGAAGAACTTTATCTATCCTATGTTTGTGGTTTTGTGTGTGTTGTGTTAATGCATGCAAAAACATTTACAAATGAAGTTAAAACTTTTATAAGGAAAGCGCCTTAAATTTAGTTAGACTACAACTCCCATCATCCCTAGCTAACAGGACCGGTGGTCAGGGATGATGGGAATTGTAGTCCCAAAAACATATGGAAGGCCAAGTTTGGCCATGCCTGGATTAGCTTAAATGGTTTTGTGGGCTGCCTGCAGCTCACTTGCTGACCGTAGGCCATTCCTATTTTAGGTTGAACTAGTCCTACCCATCTCTCAATTTAAAAACAGATTTGAGTTTTATTAGTAGATCTTCCTTTCAAAGCAACAGAAGTAATCCAGTACACTTCAACATGTTCAGTCAGAGCCTTAGACATGACTAAAGGCACTATTTAGAACAATTTGCATCTTACGGTCAGCCCTATGTATGTCTATTCAGAAGTAAGTCCCATTGAGTTAAATGGGAATTACTACAAAATAAACATGTACAGGATTTCAGCCTCAGAGACGATTGTACGAATGGAAGTTCAGTATGATGGATTTTAAAATGGTCACAATATTTTATCAGCAAAACCACTGTATGCAGGGAACTATAAGAGGCTTCCCAGTGAGAAGCTAAGCACTTGACCTCTTCACCAGAAACCAATAAATCAGGGTGCTAAACCAGCACAGCTCTGTCAAACTGCCTGTTCAGAATTTAAGTCAAAAGCACTTAGCTCTCAGTCTCCAGGTACAGTTTTCTGTACTAGGTTTGTAGAATTCTTACTGCTTTTTACACTATAATTCTCTTTAATTATGCCTGACATTTTGTCTATCACATAACTCAATAGAGAGAAATAACATGATCTCAGAGGAAAAGAGAGAAAAAAGATCTAATATAATAGGAACCAAAAATAATTACACCACATGGTCTTATGAACTTTAAACTCCAATCAGTAGCGTACTATTAAAACTCCTACAATTACTAGTTGGAATACAAAAATAGTTTAATTAGCCTATAAAAACTAACTAATGCAATCATAAATGTGAAGCTTTGATTTCAATACCTTATACTCATCGCAGAATTAATGTCTCTTGCAAATATAATCATTAGGCACTTAGATTTGTTATGAAAACGGAAACTGAGGGTTGCCTCTGATGCTTA